TCAGGGAGCGTGTAGCAAAGTCTGAGCGGTTGTTGTGTAAGTGGTTTCCCTTCGCGTTGCGCGGAGTCTGCCTCTGCTGCGTCAGCGACTTCTTGTGCCCTGTGCACGTGGACCTGGGCCACCTGGAAACTCGATTTCTGACATAGTCTTCAGTGGGTATAATTTGTGTAGCAGTTACGTTGAAAGTAGTTTTCTCCCTGACCTTCTGAAATGTAGTTTTGTATTTCAGTAGCTCTTGATTATAGCAGACTAGCTTTGTTTAAAAAAAGTAAAGTACTTCTGACCCAGTCTAATGCATAGTACCATCTTAATTCAACTAAAGGTTGTTTGAGGATTGTGGTAGGATTAATTTAAACTAGTTAGATATATTTAAGAATTAAGTCTTTATATTTTAGATGCAGCACACATCAGACTGATGTTGCTTTGAATTGGAATACCTGCAGTACTGCAGGTATTCATTCTCCTTAAATTCAGCTTTTCTCCTGTAGTCAGTTGGTCAGTGTTGATTTGTGACTGAATGTTGCCTTGCCATCAGACTCAGTGATATTTGCTCTTGAGAGGAAGTGTATTATAAGCAAACGTTTTAAATGCATTTGTTAAATCATAATCTTGTATTATTGTTATTTTGTAAACAGTTATTTTACTAACTTTCTTAAAGTGTGTTGAAGTTCTGACATTCCTTTGGATAATGATTACCAAATATGTTACAAACTTTTTCCTTAAATAAATTACATACTTGATATACCGAGAAGCTTCTAAACCCCATGTTTTTATTAATGAAATGAAATTTAAAGAGAGAGTGTTATCTAGACAAGGAATTCTGCAAGAACACTTCTTTGTCCAAGACAAGAGACTGATATTAGCAAATGTTGATTTGGCTTTTGAAACATGCTGTCTTCTGCTGTCCAGCCAGTAGCACTTAGAAATTCAGTAGCTTTTTCATATCCAGGAATAGTCTACTGGCTTGGTTTTTGAAAGCAAAGTCACCTAAAAATTATGGCAGTTAGTAGTTTTGCAAAACTTACATAACACTGAAATATATTTCACTTTTTTAATTCTGTGTCACAAAATTATACAGTCTTAAAATATCAGTTATTTTGAGGAATTTGAAGTATAAGACTGAAGCAGGCCTACAGAAAACTTTCTTTTTGATAATCTGATTTGTAATATAAATAATAAGTTGAGGAGGATAATATGAAAATTTGTGCTAAGCATCATTAAACTTGAGACAGAGCTTGAAGTGTTGGTCACTGCATGTGCCTTGTCTAACCCGGAATTTCTTTGTTAATCACCAGCAGAGCTCAACTGATGATATTCCTACTAAGGAAATCTTGGACTAGAAATTGAGTAAAATTTGCGTGTTCAAGTGCAGAGGTGGCCAAACCTCGTGACGTCCAGCTGCATCCCAGGTCTTTACGTGGCTGAGGAGCACTGTGTGCCTCAGAGCTGGGATGGGCAAGAGGAGCTTACGGATGCGGTGACTGACACCCTGGGGCTTCTGGACCGCTGCAGGAGGGAGTGGAGCTCTGTGTAGCTGGGTCCTCTGTTGGCTCAGGCTCTCAGAGTCGGCACTAGTTGTGTGACAGAGCTGCACTCAACTGCTGCCAAACTCCCATAGCTCAGACGATGAGTTGGCCCAGTGTAGTTGGAATATCAGAAAGTGTCGTAGCCATATCTGCTGTATGGTTGTGTGTGTTGTTTTCCGTGCTGGCATCAGCCGTTTTGGTCAGGCGTGTCACACGGTGTGATTTGGTGGGCTTGTGAACTTTCACCTTTGCAAAAGTTCACTGTGTTAATGAGCTTAACCGGGTGCTGCCTTGCATCACTTCTGGAATCGCGTTGTTGTTGTATGTGCAAATAAAGCACAGAATCACAGAATGGTTAGGGTTGGAAGGGACCTCAAAGATCATCCAGTTCCAACCTCGCTGCCATGGGCAGGGAAACCCTCCACTACAGCAGGTTGCCCAAAGCCTCATCCAGCCTGGCCTTGAACACTTCCAGGGATGGGGCATCTACGCCTTCTCTGGGAAACCTGTTCCAGTGCCTCACCACCCTCTGTGTGAAAAATTTCTTCCTTATATCCAATCTAAATCTCCCCTCTTTCAGTTTAAAGCCATTGTCCCTTGTCCTATCACTACATGCCCTTGTCAAAAGTCCCTCTCCAGCCTTCCTGTAGCCCCCCTTTAAGTACTGGAAGGCTGCGATAAGATCACCCTGGAGCCTTCTCTTCTCTGGGCTGAACAGCCCCAACTCTCTCAGCCTGTCTTCGTAGCAGAGGTGCTCCAGCCCTCAGATCATCTTCGTGGCCCTCCTCTGGATCCGCTCCAGTAGCTCCATGTCCTTCTTGTTCTGGGGACTAAAGAGCTGAACACGGTATTCCAGGTGGGGTCTCACGAGAGCAGAGTAGAGGGGCAGAATCACCTCCCTCGACCTGCTGGCCACGCTTCTTTGGATGCAGCCCAGGATACGGTTGGCTTTCTGGGCTGCCAGCGCACATTGCCGGCTCATGTTGAGCATACAAAGAGTAACTACACCTTCCTGTCCATCTACAGCATTCTCACCTCTGGCGGGATCCAAAGCATCACGCAGTTTCATTATCACACTTCAGCAAACCTTGAGAAGTTCCGCTCTATTTGTAATGAACTAATTCTCAATGCTCCTAAATTAATAATAAAAGCCAACAAGTTTTGAATGTTCTTCCATTTTCCTCTTGATATATGAAGTATTCTGATATCAGTATTAGTGGTATGTGGATTGTATGTGAAATGAATATAGTGATGATGTGCATTTTAATTTAATTTCTTATTTCATAGTTTCCACTTCCCAAAGACCTCAGATTACACTAATTTTAAAAAGCTTGTGCCTTGAAGACACGAAAAGTAACTCAAACATCATGCTTTCTTCTCTCTGTTAGCGTGATTAAAAAGACCCATAAAGCTATAGAGCTTAATTCAGTACTCATGCACTGCCTGATTATGTCAGCTATGGATGAATAGGAATAATTCACCTTTCAAGATGTTCTTCAATAGAGATTTTTTCTCAGGCAAAGTAGAAGTCGGTATTATGCAAATGGATTCACTTGACTTTGGTTACTTAAAGCAGAAGTGCCTTGAAGGAACAGTGTATTAAGCCTACTTAGAACATTTTTGTAGGAAAGTCCCATTCCACAGTGCCTGCTACCATATGCCATTTGACTTGTGGTTTATTTATGACTGCTCTATATGTCAGGCAGTGTTGTCATGATGGGTTTGGAATTCAGAAAAATTTTTCTATGGAGCTTGTATGAAATAAGAGGATGGATAACTTTGTTTCTTGCTGAAAAGCAACTTGTATGTTTAGCTTAACATTGTGTGTGAGTTCTCTTTAGCACAGTATTTAGAAGAGCTCTCTCCCTCCTAGTTTGTGGCTTGTGCTTTATAATTTCTGACAAAAAAAATTACGTTTTCATTAAGAAAAGGAGCTAGACTCCTGGTGAATTCGAAGTATTCTAAAATCCTGCCAGGTCCAGCTCCCAGACAAGCTATTAAACACTAAATCAAGATCAGTGTAGAGTAAAATGTAGTATTAGCTGTAGAGTGCTACTTGTTACAGAGATGAAATTTTGGCAATGCTAAAGTTGCTTTATGCCGAAGGTTATTAATCAGTGAATGTTAGAATAAGCTTTTCTGCAGCCATTGTGAAAAACGGTGGTTGGATGCCTTAATTTGTTACGCTATTTGAAACAATCCAGGAATACTTCTAGTTCTCTTCTGTGTGAGATGTAGAAACAGACAGCTTATTGTAAGAAATCCTGCAAGTAGCTGTTTATGTTCCATTACAGTGACTGCAGTTACTCTCTGATTTTTTTAAACTTTGTTTAGATGTTGGATCACTTCATATAAACTGTTGAAAATTATTAGCAATCTTTTACTTCAAAAGAAAATGAAAAGTCCTCAAAATAGATGATGAAAGCTGTTCTAACCTGAAGGAATTTATGGAAAATAAAGGGTTAAGTATTGAAATGTGTTAAAGGCAAATGATGATTGCTGTGCACTTAGCAAATAGCACCTGCTCAGCTTAGTGCTGTAAGTCTGATACAGTCTAGTTTGAAGAGTTTAGGTTTCTGGAGTTATAAAACTTACTACAGGATGCTCCTGATTAGGAACTCAGGCATAATTTTTCATTAATGTTTGCAAATAAATCTAAATCTAACAAAAAGTGCTTTGTAAGCAATTGGAGAGTGGTTTTTGATATGGTGGATAAAAATATAAAGTCTTGGTGAAAATCCAGTGATCTAAGTGCTGAGTATCTAGCCCTTTGGTGACTTTCTGTATAGAAAATTTTAATTGTTGTAATGATCACTGATCACTTCTGCTAGTTTAGAAAATCGGAACTGTCACCTATTAAACTCTACTTAGTTGTGAGAGAGAAACTTCTTTTTTTTGGTGGCTTTTCTTTTGGGAGAAGTGTGGGTGTAAGCTTGTTTTTGGAAAGAGATATTTCAGGAAGTGACATTTTGTAGCTGGAATAAAAATGTAGTCTTAGTGGCTTGGAAGACGACCAAGTGTCTCCTAGCGGGTTTCAAAAATGTGTAAGTATTGAGAGCATTAAAATAGGTAAACAATGTTTTAGAGAGTCAACAGAACATCACAGCATAATATAGTGAGGTTGACAACTTAGATAAAAACGGCTGACTCTGGAATATATGATTGTCTGGATAGCCAAACATAGTTGAGTATGATAACTACTTCTGAAATGTAGTTTTGACTGCTGGCAAGATGCAGTATTTCTTAGGGTGAATGAGCTTGGCAGCTTTTTTGTCTTATAAATGGGAATTTTGTTATTTTGCTACATCAGTATTAAAACAAATGAAAACCATCCATGGTGAAAAGATAAAGGATGGAAATTTGTTGAAGGTGTTTCTTTTTAGGGCATAATGTAAAGCTCAGTGTTTGTATATGGTAGTAGGATTAGAGGTTGAGAAATCTTGTAGATTAATCTTAATTTGTACTGTTTTCTAGTGCCCAAGATGTATGCAGTGTGATACAAAATTTGACTTCATAACTAGAAAGGTAAGAGAAATCAATAAATGTAAAGTATTAAATGTTGCAAATTACTAATATGGACTTCTTTTGGTTTAAAATGTAGAAGATTTCAGCAGAATAGCATGAAAAGCCTGATGTAACTTCAAGTAGTTTTTCTTTCTGTTCTCCTTTTTCTGAGTAGAAGTCCTTTTTGTTTTAATTCTGTTTCTGTGAAATTCTTCTTGTTGCTCAATGTATAATCCACAGTTAGGGTTTTTCCAAGTTACTGGATATCCACAGGATTTACATTCAAAGGACGAGTTAGAGGAACTCATGCTGGAGTGGGCTGCTAACATCAGTACGGGCACAGAAACCAAATCGATCAATTCTGTTGTCTTTTGGGAGGTAAAATTAGTTGTGGAAACGTAAGCAAAAATGTTTTCAGGAATAATGAATTGTAATCTTACATTTAAAGAGCTGTATTGTTAAAACGCAGAGAACCAAAACTGAGATTCTCCTTCTGTTCTAAAAGTGAAACAGGATTTACCTCAGGTTTGGAAGAGGGAATTTCCGATTGAAGTAGAAAGAGTCAACTGCCTTGTTTGCTGAGAGCCATCAGTAGGCTCACTGTACGGAGAGAAAACACTAATGTTAGAGTTAAATTGGTTGGTGATATAAAAGTAAGCTGGTCACTGTGGAATGCATGCTGGTGTGCAGAATACTACTATCAGAAAACATTCTGCTGATGTCAAGAGTTTCTGCATGCAGAAGGAAAGTAACCTCCCTAAAAAGGCCAACTGATTTTTAGTGGGGAATATCGTTCCGTTGCATAACTGCACTGACACTCTCCTAGTGTCCGCTTGTGAAAGTGAAGAAAGATGTGGAAGTGTGACTTGTAGTGCACTGACATATTCAATGTTCTTTAACTTACTGTTTGGAGGGAGAAGGAAAGAGAAACTGTAAACCAGGCATAGTAGTGTGTTGTACCAGATAGGTGTAAATTTTCAGGAGGCCTGAAGAGCATTAAGGGGTCAGTTAATGATCCTAGTACTCCTAAATCATGGAGTGTACTTTCTCCTAGTTCTCGTTTTACCTTTTAGTTGGATGGGTTAAGAGTTAAGAGCATGGTTGGTTTGAGTGTTTTGATTGAGAACCGCTAATTGATTAGGCAGCTGTGTTTTACTTGTGTTAGCTTTGGGAAGTAAATGGAGGTGGTCTTGGGAAATAGGTACTCCAGAGAATTTTGCATAATATTTGGAAGGAAAGCCTAACACTGGCCAAAACTGCACTGTATCAGTTCCTTGTATCTCAAACTTGCTTTAAGCCACAAATCAGTTCCTGCTTGCTGGGGAATACTTGTTCTGACATGAGAACTTGCATCAGGAAGACCTGCTGGGACTGTCACACCCTGATAGTGAGCTGGAGCACAAGCTACTTGTTGCAGATCGAGTAGCTGTGAAATACATTGCAGTACTAGTTCTGATTTTGCAACTTCATTGGATTTGTGCTGTCCTGTCTGGTGTTTCTGATAGAGAAATAGCTTTAGGTGTTCTAAAGTTTCCATGCGTAAAACTTGAGAATAAATTTTAAGGAAGAAGAATAGCATCTCCAGTTGAAGTTTCCCCAAGATCTTTGCTTGAAGGGACCTGGAAACCACTCTTGTGTTTTTATTCACAGTAAGGTGAAGGGTTTATTGGACACTGGAGAAGCTCTTTGGGTGTCTTGTCTGATCTGCTTTAGAAGCATGTTTACAGAGTGGCAACAAAGGCTTATAGTGCTGTCGTTTATACTATACTCAGTCCTTGGTGTTCAATCTTCAGAGATTTCTTTCTACTGCTCTAGAAGTTAAATTTCCTTTACTGGTTCCTCAACTTGCATGTTTCACACCTGAGAAACTGTTCTGTTTCTAGGGAGGGAGGAGGATATTTAATGTAGCAACTTTATCAAGTTATTGCCTAATAGTTTCTTGTGTAAATAAATAAACAAAATGTTCTCTCATGCTTAGCATCACTGTCGAAGATGTGGGAAGTGCTTCTGTGACAAGTGCTGCAGTAAAAAAGTGCCTCTGCCTCGCATGTGCTTTGTGGACCCGGTGCGCCAGTGTGCTGAATGTGCCCTCATCTCTCAGAAAGAAACAGAGTTTTATGACAAACAGCTTAAAGTGCTCATGAACGGTAAGGGCTGAAGGCAGATATGTGCTGTGTTGGTCTCAGTTAAATGCTGTATAAACAAATCTGATAGGGAGCAAGAGTAATGCCTCTTGTCAAACAAGCCTGCGGTTTTGTCTCCTTGAAATACTCTTCTGTTGTCATGCTACTTTTTTGTTGTCATGCCTCGTGTTTGCCAGTTAATAATTCTGTTATCTGTTTATTTAGAAGCTTACACTTTTTAGTCAATGTTTACAAAGAGTAACTTAATTAAAGACAAAGGAATTTTTAATGCCTCTGAGAACAGATGTGTGTGCAGTTGGCATTTCTATTAAAATAATACATCTTTTAGCCCTATTACCATTACATCAAATAAGCATGAGAAATATGTAACAATAGAGTCTCTTCTAATATTTTCTAACAAGACACAGTGCTTGTTTAAAGCTTCATCTGTGAGCTTTGATCTTGTCCATGGCCTACAGCTGTGGTTGGTGGCACACCATGAGTGGTTAGTTTTGCATAGCCGTAAAACTACATGCAATACAGTAATTTGTGTTCCAATTACATTAAGAAAGCTGAGTCTTCAGTTTTTAAAATATTCTGTGATCATTCTTTGCCTTTTGATGGGTTCTCAACTCTCAGCATGATGCTGGTGTGTATAATCAGTAAGCTGAACCACATGCCTGATTAGCGTGAACGTTCCTAGGGAGATTCTAGGTTCAGAGCGGAGTACGCTCATCCCTGTAACACGCAAATCATCCTTCACTCTGCTTTGCAGGTGAGGGTGTAGAGGAGTTGTTAAATAACGTATTTTAAACTAAAGGTCTTTTCTAAAAGCTTGGCCTGCTTGCATTTGTGTTTTGCAATTAAAGTCTGGAGTTGTTCCTGACTTGGTGTAGAGCCACAGATGGCAGAGAGATGGTGGTTGTGATGTCCTTTGCAGTTTTGCTGCTGTTGCCTGTGTGTTGTGCTTCGCAGCGGGTGGGAGTCCGTGCGGAGCGGTCAGTGAGGCTGTGTAAAATGGTGAAATGCACAGCGAGGTGAAGCGCTCTGAGGCTGCGTGGTTCAGATTGTGGAGGTGGATTGCAGACCATTTGGCAGGACTGCATGCTGGTTGGTTGTTGGGTTTTTTTCATTTCCCAGACCAACAGTATTGGGATTAAGTAATAACAGGGAGTGTGAGGCACGGACGAAATAGTGGTTAGGCGTGTAGTCTGCTTTATTTTAAGTGATGAATCACTTCACTAATGCAGCGGAGTTGACTTTCCCAATGTCAAAGGAGCTGTTTTGAGCAGGAAGAAACGTAGTATGAAGGCTGAAGTTCATTGACCTCAAAGTAAGACTGAGCTAGCCTTCAGCAGTGAAAAAAGAGATGCCTTTGCTATTTATTAAGCATAGAGCTGAAGGTCACATCCTGCTATTAGATTCTGATGGATTTTTTTTGAATACTGAAACAATAGTGTGTGTTATGGTGACAAGATAGGGTCTTTAAGTGCCTATTTTTGCATCTCCAAATCTGCTCCCGTTTTTGTAAGATTCATCTTGGATATCATCTGTATCTCTACAACATGCGGGAGAAATTGCATAGCAATTGTGAAAGGTTCTGTGATTTAGAACATGATAAGTGAAGATCAGGTTTATATACTTCAGTGTTCTGCTGATGTTAATCAATTTAAAATTTCAGTTAGTCTCTTAATTCACCCAATTCAGTGTATTAGGTACAGTAACTAAAAACTAGTTATCCTTTTTGATACTTGAATGTTCCTTCCTTGACTCTGCATTAGGATACTAAAACATTTCTTTCCAGGTGCTACGTTCTTCGTAACTCTGGGAACATCCGATAAATCTGAGCTCATGGTTTGTCGACTTTCCAACAATCAGAGGTGAGACAGACTGATAGAAATGTACTTATAAACTATATTTGTTGTACACACAGCTGTCTTATTATCTAACAACCTGAACAAAATATAAGAGTAACTTGCTGTGAGGATATTGGAGAGAGTAATCGGACTGAAAGGATAGATAAAACTTTATTGGAATTGGGTTTGTTTGAATTTACCAGCAGTGTGGATCAGAAGGCCTTGGAATGGTGGAGCTCCACTCACTCATAATGCCTCTCAGTGCCACTGGAATACAGTGGTTTTGCCAGCTAATAGGGGGATCATAGGAAGTAGGAGCAGGGAAAAATCTGCAGCCACTTTAAAAGGCTTGTTTCAGAATGATTCTAACGCTGCACCGTGTTGTTTAACGTTACAGCCAAGGCATTAGTTTTGTCATCCCAATAATTTGATTGGCTATAACACTTCAGACTCTGTGTTCTTTTCTTGCCCCAGACCTTTGGAAGAATGTTTTTAATATTTTTGAAGGGGTCTCCCAGCAAACTGAACCATATGTTTTGTGGGGTATTTTTCCTTTCAGTAAAGAACTTCAATGAAAAGTAATTTTTCCTGCTTGATTTTTCTCCCTCCCCACCCCAAAGAACATATAAACTGAGAGGTTAATTTTATTTTTTTCCTTTGATTTGGACTTGATATTGTAGGAAAAGCCTTTTTTTAATTTTTTAAATAAGTTTTTCTTGTGTTATGTAGATACCTGGTTTTGGATGGAGACAGCCACTATGAAATAGAAATTATACAGATTTCAACTGTTCAGATACTTACAGAAGGATTTACTCCTGGAGGTAAATTTTTTTATTGAATATAAATTAACTATTAAGAAAAAAAAAAAGTGAAGTTGTAATTATTGTTCAAGCTAGGCAGTGTATTTCTAGGCTATCAGTAACTTAGGTGTAACTATGTTAGTTACAACTGCTCTCAGAACAGAGTGCAGTGTGTGAAACGCTGTCCATGTGGCTACTGGGATTTTGGGGAAAACCTAAGAAAAGAGAAATTACCGTACAGCTGTAATAAGAGAGAGCTTCCCGATAATCCTGAGTAAAGGTGGTCATCATCTGTTCTGATCCGTTCTCTTGGCTAAATATAAACATCTATTGATTCAAAAGCTCATAGGAGGAAACCATTAGTCTTTGGTAGCTTCCATTTCAGAATCCAGCTGGGAACTCTCTTCTATTGGTATAAACAATTGTGAGGAGAGTGAGAGAGAAACTGGGGGGTGTGGGGGGGTGGAATTAATAGTCAAGCTATGATTTCTTAATTTCATTCAAGATGAAGGGGTGGCCAAATGAAACTGGTAATATCTGAATCAGAGGGCAGCCACTTAGTGCCTCATCTCTTACCAGCTTTTAGACTGTTTCAGGATGAACTTGAATATGATTTCACTGAAATGAGAACAAACAAGGTCAGGAATTTTAATAATTGTTCTTTAGCAACACCTCTGTCACTGCTGGAATTTTCTAATGGGACAGCCAATCTGTGCAACATTTAGTCAGTACAGCATGTTAACTTTAATCAACTTACCTCGGTATTCAAATCAGCCAGATGTGTTGCTGAGTTACTTAATGCTCCTGTAATTCCTTGTTCACCACTCTTCTGACTACTGCTTTATCTTTTTGCCTGCCTGCCTTCTTGATGGTAGAAAAAGATATTCACACTTACACCAGCCTTCTGGAGAGCCAGCATATTACTGAAGGTATCACCAGTACCTCTGAGCATGACTCACCTAAGCATGTTGTCATGACCCCCCTCCCATCTTTCTTCCTCTGCAGTGCTGGTTTTTTGCTTGATCTGCAGCTGTTCAACTTAAGACAAGTTATGTTCAAATCTGACACGTATCTGTTCCTTCGCATCTGTCTGTTCAATAAACTGAGAATGAACGTTTTGTAACTTTTTGGTGGAGAACTAAAACACTCAAGGGCTTCTTTAGCCCACATGTGCTATTGTCCATGCTAGAAGAGAGAAGGGAAGATGAGAAATAGTGTCTTTTGTGGTACACAGTATTACACATCACCTACTTCAGCAGAGGTGTGCTGAACTGTGTATACCAGAAAGGAATAATATACTACTTGTGTACTGTCCAGTAAGACTTTACACTGAATAAATAAACTGTTAATTAATGGCTTGCTTTTACACATCTTTAAAAGGAAGAAGACTTCTTGTTATGTAAGGTGTCTTCTGCCTGACTTAGTAACGTCCTGGAATGCGAGACATGGGCAAACTGTTCAAGGCTGTAGATGTGTGATTTCTGCTGGTTTATCTTTAAGTAGTCCCTTAATCTGTTGGTCTGACCAGGTAGACGCAGAGGAGTGAGTGATCAAGTTGGATTTCAGCTTATCCTACAAGAGGAGCACATGGCAACTTTTATAAACATGGCTTGTGGGCTGTTGATCAGGTTGCCTACCTTGAGATGGTCTTTGTTTGGCAGCTTGAGTATTACAATAATGGCCTCCAGGAGCCCTCTCATGCAGACACTTTTTTTTAAAAAGAATTTTGCAAAAAGTGTCCTTCTGTGCTGTTCCGTGGCTTAGTTGATGCTCTGCTACTTCAGGAAATAATGCCATGGTATTCTAAACATTCTAAACAAAGCTTTTGTTTAATTTCTGTATTTTTGCTTTGGTTTATCTTGATCTCTGTGCAGCTGGAGGAAAAGAGATACAAACATCTCGCTATGCAATGTCTCTTGTAGCAGATTTCCTTCAGGAAATAAAAGACGTTGCAAGTCATTCTCTAGTCTTGTGCAAGCATCTTTCCCAACCTTTGCCAGGTTTGGAGGGACTTTTTACTGCTGTGCCAGACTTGGGATCAAGCAGAGATCCCTCTTTGATACCAGTCTAACTGGACACTAGGAATTCAGTTTACAAACTGCAGGCTACGTACGGTATGAAACTATGGCTTCTACTTAAGAAGAGACCTGGTAGTACTAAAACATGAAGGTGTTCTCAGTGTGTGTAGCCAGTGGCTTCACCTGGTGGCTTACACAAGTCCTGCCTGGGTGACTGCCAGGGAGAATGAAACAATATTGACCCTGCACGTTCTGTTGCCTGCCGTTGACACCTGTGGTCACTGCCTCCCCTGATGAGGTGCTCGTCAGTGCACCTGCAGTTGCTAAAGCTTGGAATTAAGTGACCAACTCCTTTTCTTCAAACACGCTTGTTAGCTAGAAGAAGTTGTGTTACCTCGTTGGTAAAACCTGTCGCTGTCTAAGATTTTCTTTCTTTTTCTCAGGAGGTAACACTCGTGCCATCGGTATGATTCTGCAGTACAAGGTGCCAGGATCAGAGGAGATAACACAGATGAAGTTTACAGCCGGGGAAGACTTCAGCTGTAACAAGAAGCTGTCAGCGAGCTGGCTGGCAGCGATGCATAAGGTAAGCAAAGGAGGTAAAACTTACAGAAGGCTGAAGAAAATCTTCAACATGGGGCGCCTGGTAGAGCTTGAGAGAACATGCAGCTTTAGGAGTCTTTTTTCTTTTCACTATTATTTTTTATTTAAGGATTTTAGGGCCTTATTGCTTAAGAAAACAGAAGCTATGGCTGGCTGTTCTGAACAGGACTTTAGCGTTATGCTCAGATACCTGATGATACGAACTACAAAGGGTTCCCCAAGATCATTAGGCTGAAAGAAGGCAGGAATTAGACTCAGTTCCTTAGGTGTTTATTATTCACTGAAGAACGTGCATTATAAAATACTCTTTCTGACCCTAAACTCAGCTGAATGGTTTTTACTACTTTATGAAGGTTTAAAGAAGTAGCTGGTTTTTGAAAACAGGAACAGGGGTGGGGGCAGGTCCTTGCAGAAGACTCTTTCATCTTTTGTTGCTGGGCACTGTGTGGCTAGTGAAACTGAAGCTTATTACTTTATAAGTCAAAGTTACGGGAGACAAAAACCAAAACCACCCCAAACTAGTTCTGGAATTTTGTTCATCTGATTGATAACTAGAACCGTGATTTATAAGCTGCCCGCAAACGCAAGCGTGCGGCTGTTTGGTCCTTTACCACCACTGTTGCTCCCCAGCCGCCCTGACCCCAGCATTTCACTTGTGTTCTGCACAGTGCACTCAAACGCTGTATGGCCACGTAAGTACAATTCAGCACTTCCTTAGACCTGTTCTACTGCATCTTTCACAAGCGATGCAGCTCCTGCAGATGTGGCGAGAACCGGTATCTTATGGATAAGCCTAACACCCTCCTCCAGCTGATTGTCTCCCTTGACAGGAGTTGTGTGTAGCTCAGTTCTGAGTAACTGATCAGTGCAGTGGGATTTTTTTCTGAGGTCCGAGTTAACAGCATGTAGAAGTATTTGTTGCTAGAGAATGCACATCTGCTCCCATTGCAGGAGGCTGGTTGATCCAATAGTTTGAGACAAACACAACACCTCACGAGAACTTTTCAAGGGGGAAGTGGAAGAGGTAGGAGGAATATGGAACAGAGTAACATTGTTTACTGCATATGTTCAGAGGGATTAGCAAAGTTTCAGAAACACTACTGACTTTTTCAAAGGCAGTTTTGATCAGAAGTGGTCGTTTCTGAGCAAGAAGAAACAAATGTAAGTTGATCTAAAAATCTTCAGTGACCTCAGGTTCTGCACTTAAAGTAACCTTGAAGAGTTTCAAAAAACCTACTGAATTCTATTAAACTCCTTAACTAAGGAAAATAGCAGAGGAAGAACTGAAAGCCTTGGGTTTGAAGGAAATTTTTGGAGGGGCAGGAAGGAGGTTAGGTGGCTGCAAGTGAAACTTCGGTTAACGCAGTGACATTTTGTCTCCATGTTAGGCAACAAAACTTCTTTATGAGTCCCGGGACCAGTAAGAACAGCAAACTGTTGGCCACCTGAGGGAAGACACCAGCCTCCATAGACCTGCCTCTGCCTTTTTGCTAATTTGACAGCTGGTAACGTTTGTTGTTTTTGACCCCTTCTCATTCCAGCGTGGTTCATTATGTCAGAACTGGCAAATGCAATGTGAGTATTTTTTTGAACCATGAGCATTCACTATAGTGTGCAATATGTATACAATTAATGCTTTAAACAGCCTCACCTTTTAAGACTTTGTATATTTTGTTAAGCCTTTGTTGGCACTTAATACGAAAGTGACCTGCACTACAGCTAATGTACAGCACAACTTTTATAGTAACAATTATATATGTTTGCTACAAAAAGCAAACAAATGTGTATGTCTCTTCTGCAGAGAATAGCTTTTGGGTATAGATCTCAGGTTTTTCCCCTCTATCCAAATGTTTAAAATCAGTGTACAATAAAATCTGCCTTAGATAAGATTTTATAGAAGTCACTTGTTTGTTTTGTTTTTTTTAACTGTTTCATTTTAAACATCTAAATACTTCACCAAATACCACCAAATTGGACTTAACCGGAACATGACCTTGAAACTTTCCTTCTGTAATAAATAATTTTTAGTTTTGTATTTTCTTTTTGGTAACTAGCTTTTGTTAATCTAACTGTAATGCTATCTGAAATTGTATACAATTTAATGTACAAATATAAATAAATTAATCCACTTATTTAAAAAAAAATGAGGTGACGGTTAATTTCACAATATCTTTAACAATGGATACTGCGGTCTCCACTCTCTGAACCTTTTGAATTTTTATGAAAAGCACCCTAACCTTAGTTATAAGTGCTGAGAATTGGTTCAACTGTTGGGATGAATCCTCTGGCTACACATGCTGAGCCAAGTGTCTTTCTGCCCTCCACCTCCCTCCGCTGGTAAAAACTGAGCAAACAAGCTCAGTTGTCAGCTGGTGTGTAAAGGACCCTTGAGAGCTTTTCTAGACTAATTTGTCACAGTTGGAATACTGGTGTAAGGAGGTTCCAAAATTGTCTGGCAAGCTATTTTCTGTGCAGCTGGTAAAACAACTAGAGAACTTAACAGCTAGCAAGCTAAAATTATTCTTTTTTTTGTAGACTATGTTGCTACCTATATAAAAACACTGGAGAATGCAGCCACGCCTTAGCAGTACTTTATTGTGCACATTTACACGTTCTCTGAATTAGTGTATCATAGGCTCTTGAAATCATCACATTCATGTAGCAAATTCTTCAACAATAATACCCTTTCACTTTTCACCACAATATATACAGTTAATGCTAACCTGTGGTAAAAGCAAGTTACAGCACTGCAGAAATGGATATATAAATTATACACAGAACTTGTACATGAAGAATTAATCAAATTGCATACTGTTAAATGGGAGAAAATTACAAGAAATATGGCTAAAACTTATAATGGGAAATTCAAAATATACTTTTGGTATATAAAATCATGTACAATTAAAATTCCAGTGAAGTGCCTTTTTTTTTTTCTTTTTCTTTTTTCTTGAAACTACAATGTAGTGGAATAGGTTATTGCATAACTTGCCTTGGCAACAGATGCAGGCTGCCAGAAACCACAGAAACTGTCCTCAAATAAGCTACTGCCTTCCTTAAATCCTTCTCTAAACCTTGTTTCTTTCTTCTCCTTGACTTAGCATCTACACAACCCTCTTCCTACTTCTATCCAGTCCTTCATATTTTCTTCTAGACTGACTCAGGCAGACGTCAAATTACACAGTATAACCCTCACCGGACTCTTACCCTTTTCGACTATTGCACTTTCATCCATGCAGACATACAGATCCCTTAAGCTGCTGCAAGTTTGGTACTAACACTTTTGTCCAGGATGGACAAGCTCAGGTGGTTAGTAGGGGAACCTTTACATTAGTAGAGGTAACACTGGTGCTGTAGGCTGAATAATAATAAGAAAATAAAACACCAGGTGAAATAGTGTGCAGGGATTTTGAGAAGTGTACAAATACTGTTGTTTTGTTAGTTCTCTAGCTTGATTCTAAACGCAAATAATAAATACTAGGTGCTAGACTATGTAAAGCTTTTGTGGGGGTTGTCTAGACTAGGATTTAAGTGTATAGCATGTTACCACTTAAAATCCTAGCCTTCATCAAGCTTTGGTGACTACTCAATTATGCATGTAATAGGTGAAGATCTTGTGTCCTAGAACCCAAAGAGTTGATCGGTAATGAGAACTCAACATTCACTGGTATCGAACAAAATATCCAAAATCCAGATGTGGGACAGTTATTGTGGGATTGGAGCAAAGTGGACAGCGTATCTGCACTCCGCAAACAACATCTCTGAACGTTTAACACAAGAAAGCTCCTACCACGGAACCTGAACTTAAAACACTGCTTTAGACAATAGTTGGCGCAACACTGTAGGTAGTGGAGGTATCGCTCTCCTCATCAGTGGCGGGTCACGTAAAAACGATCCTCATTTACAAACTGCAGATCTCGAAAATCTTGGATGCTGTCCATTTAACAAGAGAAAGCACCATTAAAACTAAATGTCATAGTTTTATTTCTCTGTGTGAAATGATCAAAACTGATGGCTCCAGTGTATGTTTTAAGTTTCCAGTTACCAGCATGGTATGGCACTGTTGTACAACTGAATTCAAGCAAGGGTTCGCTGTCTAGGTTTTATTCGTGGATATAACTGTAAAAACAGAATAAAAATGTCAGGCTTCACATGGTCGATACCAAGTTAAATATAAATCAATTCAGTTATAACCAAGGGTGTACTTATTAGCAAGAACTGGGTCATGAAGTGTTTTGGGGGTGAGGTTTTTGTAAGCTACAACATGTTCTTAGGTAACTTCTGCAAAATTAAACCAGAAGCAGCAGGAGGCCAAGGGCTGACTTATTCCTGCCAACGGCAGTAAAATTGCTGCTCTGAAAATGGCTTGGTTCATTCAGCTCAAGATCCCAGACTAGACCAAAGGATGCTTTTATCTAAGTGCAAGAATTCCCTGTCGAGCCCTAGACAGAGCTTATTTCCTGCTCAATGAGGTTTCCTTAGGCATTTTTGTCCCCTGTATCTCTCTACTTAGCAGCCTTGCATTCCTGGTCTATTCTGACAGCAGTCTTCCATTTGACTGAGTGCAGCAGAAACAACTTGCCTACAGTTGTCGTCTTCAAGGCTCTTTCCCATTTTAAATTTCTACATATCTATATATTGCTTAGCTTTTGCCAGGTGTTAAAAACCTTCCTAAATAACCTCCTGGGCCAAATCTTCAAGTTGCCTACTAGAGCCACCACACTTTACACAGGGGCCCTGTATTTTAGCCAAGGGCAAAAAAATCTTACCAAAGATTAAAAAATAAACTATATTAAATCTACTAACTTGCCAAATAAAACCCAGCACTAATCTCCCAACCATAGCCTCTCCTTTTTTGTTTACCATGACACAGGGGCCAGAGAGAATAAGGATAATCTGCTTTGCACCACTTCATAGCAGTGTATCCAGGTGATGCACAGTGGGATTCTGTGGGACCAAGGATGTATCTTGTGTTCCTACTTCAGGAAGATGTTAAAAATAGGAAGGAGAAAGTAACTTAAAAAGAACTTACCCCAAGAAGATTTTTAGGCACATAGCCTTCTTTATCGTTGAGGCGGGCCCACCACCACTCCGTTTCGTTGTCATCCTTGCGTCGTAGAATAGTAATGGCATCGCCCTCGTGGAACGACAACTCATCGTTATTCTGGGCTTCGTAATCCCACAGAGCGTACACCACTCCTTTATTCATCACCCCCAACTTCTCTTGCACTCCTGTTAAGAACAAATTAGAGGACACACTATATGGTAAAAACTCCTATTTTTCCCTCTGAGAGTTTTAGTGTGGACACTGTGGCCGAAATATTAGTCTCTTATTAATAGAATTTCATGAACAATTTTCAGTACTTCCATGATTAAATGCTTTCAGAAACTTAACTGCTTAATAAAAACAAATTTTACAGAATATTATAAACCAATTTAGAGCATGAGGTTTTCCTCTTTTATTATATATGCAATAGAAACTTTACAATGTATCTTTTATTTATATGAGGATAAAAATAGTTTTACAAATCATACAATGGTTTGAGCTGGAAGGGACCTCAAAGATCATCCAGTTCCACCCCCCCTGCCATGGGCAGGGACCCCCTCCCCTACACCATGTTTGAGCAAAGCAGCTTTATAAAAGAACTGCTGTATATTTCTCACAGGCCTGCTTTCTACAACAGACCTTATGCAGTAACATTTGAAGCTTTTGAAAATCTGCACAATGTCAGGTATATAGAGCCTTAATAAAGCTTATATCCTCTGATGTAAATTAAAAATTTGTCTGCTCCATCAGAGTACTTTTCTTGCAAAATATATCTTAGTAACTAAGTACATTCTGTAAGTTAACTATTCTTATCACATATGCACGTCTTTGTGTGATCTGCTAGAAATTTGTGCATCTGAAAGTTGGAGTATCTCTGTCAAGATACTTGACAGCTCCGTTACTGTCAAAACCTCCCCATGGAAGCATTTTCTTCACATGAAGCCAAATAAAACTTTTAAAAAATCTGTAACATTAGAAGGAGCCTGTGAAGTAAACTCAGAGAACAGAAGGACTATGAGCAATGTAGTAACAAAAAGATTATTTTGGTTTAGCATTTTGAAAGAACAGGTGATGGGCAGTATTGTCATGTCTGGGCCTAAGCAGCTGTTTCATGCAGATCAGAGACATAAAGAGACGAATTTTACAAAAGCTAAAAGAGTTTGTAAAGCAGTGTCACAGCTTACCGTACAAGAACTGGGAACACTGAATGTAACCTTCTTCCATCTCTTCACACTTGTCTGCCGCAGTTTCTATATCGCTTATAGTTGAAGCAAAAATAGCTGCCCCAGATTCAACCAGTAGTTTACAGAGATGAACACTATTGCAAGAAGCAGCACAATGCAAGGGTGTCCTGAAATAACGCAAAAATGCACAGATGAAAAAATAAACTTCCTTGAATCTTCACTATTTTGTCTGGCAATATAGAGTTTAGCCTGTCTATTTTTAAAGGAAATTGTTCTTTTTGATTATAGTATAGGTATGCATTGTCCAAAACCTGTCAAGCAACTGGAGTGGATTCTGGTATTTATGACTCTAGTAAAGCCAGACATTAGAAAATAGATGTTAGCAAAAATGTCCATTTTCACAGCCTACAAAGCTGCTGGGTATAAAAGGGTATTTTCCAGTATGAGGGAGTTTGAAATAAGGTGAAGGTGAAACAGATCAGCACTGCAAGGTTTCACATCCCTTCCAAATGCTTCAGAAGGGCTACATCTACTTGTAAGGCTAGATTCTTCCAAGAATGCCAAAATCTGTTGTGGGTTATAGGACAAGGAAGCTTCAACAAATTAACTCTTGTCATTTGTTATTTACAGCTTACTTATTTCAGCATCTGAACAAGAACTGCAACTATACTACTAAATAAACACAAAATCTAGTACACTTTATGATTCCAGTGTGTTTGCACGTTAGTTGAACACAATGTAACCTCGCATTTGAGTTCATCATCATCTAGAGATTAGAAAGTGCTCATTTGCTGGGGGTACAGGAGAAGGAAATTGTTCCCCAAACTGGTCTCGACTAAATTTTGAATGTGCATCAAAGTAGTGTTTTTCCCAGACGCTAAGTTAAAAATCTTGACACTTACCACCCATCACTATC